GGAAGGCAGCTACAGTGAAGGGTACAGCCTAGGGCCCCTCTGGCTGGCCCAGCCATAGCTCCACCCTTGTGACTATTAAAACCACCTGGAAACCAATTGGATTCTTGTGTCCAGTCTACTCGCAGAGACTCTTGTTGACAGGATTTAGTACTGGGGTCTGTGTACACCTGTTTTAACTTCCCTAGTGATCCCAACGTGGGATGTATGGGACAGGAAGAACCACAAATCTGGAGGCTCCAAGAATTCAGAGCCCCTTGAAAAGTACAGCCGTACACGGGGAATCCTCTGGAGGGAATGGAAAGCAAGAGAAACATGAAGATGGCCACACCACAGCACCCTTGGAAGGTACCCACATCCTTATTAGTATCACAGAGATGCCTGGCAGCTAACCCTGCATGGGTGTCAGCCAGCAAGTACAGAGCTTGGGGGTCCTGTCCTGACCTTCTTTAAGCATCACAGCAACAATAAGACCCACCTTTGCTGTGCACTTCACCCTAAGCCAATCTTTGCTAAACAACATGAGAGCCAAAGTAGAAACAGAGACCAAGATGAGACTGAGATAAACAGGGTCCTCCAGATGTCTGAAACTTACTGGAGCAGTGGCTCCAGCCTGGTCATTACTTGGAGAGCCTATTGTCCATAGCAAAATGAAATCTGGAGTGTTGCATGTGATGTGTTACCACTGTCATGTCTGTGCTGCATATAACTCACATGGGGGACAGATCATGGCTTTCCAAGTGACTCTTGTCAAAGTGTACAACACTACACACAAACAGACCCAGGTAGCTCTCCTGAAAATCAGCAGTGACCCACCTGTGTGAACTATGCCAGTCCCTAAGTAAGTCCATGACTTCCTGTCCCATACATCCCACAGCCGGGCAAGGCTTCCTAAAATCTGGCCTTGGCCATGTCAGTGCCCCAGGTACAAATCTTGTACCAGGCATGGTGGCACATACCTGTAATCCTAGCGCTCAGGAGACTGAGACAAGAGGATTGCTGAGTTTAAGGCCAGCCTGGGCTACAGAATGAGTTCAAGACCTAAACTACATAGCAAGACCCTATCTCAAAAAAAAAAAAAAAAAAAAAAAAAGCTTGCAATGGCTTCTTGGTACTCTTATCCTCTGCTGCAACTCAGAGGCTGGATGTCCTGGATGTCCTGGGCCCAACAACAGTGTGACATGCTCTTGTCTCTGACAGCACTGATCCTGAACCTGGGTCTGAACACATTCTTTCTCCAAGACGTACACATCTGGCTCTGGCATCTCCAGCCCTGCCCCACTGGGCCCAGTCCCAGAGGAGAAGAGACCTCACCGGCCTCCTGTGCCATTTTTAGCACAGGACCTGGAATCAGGCTCAGCATTTAGCAGGTGCTCAGTGAAGCTTCTGATTAAATAAATCAATTAGGCCATTTTCTCTGACTGAAAAATTCTGACCATATCTTTAGTTCTCAGACACCTGCTGGCTCATTAGACACTGTGGCATTGTGGACATGGCACCAAAACACTTTGACACACGTCCCACTGAGAGTAGCCATCTTCATCCTTTCTCTGTGAATCAGGGCCCCAGGATTGTTGGCTGACAAAATAGGATGGAAATAACACAAAATGACTTTTTAACTGTGCCCATCAGATTTTTTAATATTCCTCCTCAGGGTGGCATCTATTTTCTTCTCCTAAATGTGGGCTGAACTTGGTGACTTCAAGTTGCTGAAGCAGAAGTGACCATGTGTGGTGCTGGAGGTTAGGTTTTAAGAGGCCCTGTGGCTTCTGTCTTGTTTGCCTTTTCTCTGAGCTCACAGTCTAGGGGAATCGGCTGTTGTGCTGTGAAGGGACCTGGCACAGCATGCATGGCAAGGAACTAAGGCCTCTGTCGCAGACACTGAATGACTTAGGACAACTCAACCCAGCCAAGCCTGGCGTCCCCACACGGCAGCCTGATAGATAGATAGGGTCCTAAGCCGCAACCGCACAGCCAAGTGGCTCTGGGTTCCTGACCTCAGAGACCATGAAGAGCTAATAAATGTTTGTTGCTTCAAGCGATGATGTTCTTGGGGGTGATTTACTGTGCATTAATAGAGATACATGCCAATTTTTTAGCACAGACCTCAAGGAATATGAAGTTTCCACTTCCTGCCTCTTGAGATACTGGGGAACCTACAGCCACAACATAAGGAAGCCGAGCTGGCTGTAAGGGCAGTGTGGAGAGCCGCCAAAAGCCAGACCCCTGCCAGTCACATGTGTGCAACATCTTGGAAGGGGACTCTTCAGCCTTCATTGAGCCAGCCCCTTTGCCTGCCAAGCCCTGCCCAAGCTGCAGGTGCATGGGCAAAGGAGAGGGCTGGTGACACCTTCAGTCATTAAGTCTCGAGGTGGTTTACTACAGAGTAACAGATAGTGAAAACAGATCTTGGCATCTGGCTGTGGGGTGCCACCGGAACAAAACCCTAAGACGGAAGCGTAACTTCGGACCAGAGAGCAGGCAGAAGCCTAACTGATGGGTTTGAGGCCCTCTGCCAGCAGAACTCAGAGGAGACTGTTGGTTTGGACAGGGCTCCTGTGCTGGGCCCAACAGGCCAATCAAAACGGAGAGATTTGCCCTGAAAGTCCACAGCACCAAGCTGAAACTCAGTCACTCTGACCTTCTAAGAAGCTGGAAGAGGAAGAGCAGGCAAACCCCCAAAGAGAACAGTTTTAGCCAGCATGGTAAGGAAGGCCCATCTGTTTTAAGCCTTACAAGAAAGGAACTTTCAAAGGACCAATCCACTTCTTGTTCTGCCTCTGCTTTCCTCAGCCTACAAAGCCAAACTCCTCTGCTCAACTAATCGGAACACTTACCCTTTTTTCACAGAATGAGGTGTTGCCTAGTTCTAGAATTGTAAGCAAAAGGCTGTTTTGATCTTTCAATTTGTTACAGGTTTGTCTTTTGACAAGGCTAAGAGGAAAGTAAGAAAAATCTGATTCCGAGCTGGAGGAAAGAAGATCCTTGAAATGTAAAGTCACTCGGTTATCATCAAGGGTGGAGAAAAGGATTCTAATAAATGTAATCACGCTGCCAAGGAGATTTCCAGGCTGATGACAGAATCACTTGCTGGCTTCTTGCCACTGCCTGTGATAACATGCAAGGGGAGAGATGAATGAAAGAATAAGCTGTTAACTATAACAGGAGCTAGGACTCACTCGGTTTGAAAATAAAATGATTTCTATTTCTAGACTCGGCAGATGGCAAATGATTATCAAATTAAGGAAGGGCTTCAGGCCATCAGTGGAATCCAGGATGGGTCTGTAAATCTCAGACAGTTTCTGTTTCTGAGACACAGAAACTTGTGGGCCGACAAAAGGCCCACTGAGGTTCTCGAGGACACCCCTAGGACTGTGAAATAGGGGCCCTGGGAATCCCAAGGGCACTGTCCTCAGTGATTCTGTGGGGAGTCCAAAGCACAGAGGGCCATCTCTTGTTCTCATCACTGTGGCCTTTGTCTAACAGTCCAAGGATCTGCAAAGCTGAAGGCACTTGAGTAGGGGAGAACAGAGATAGCACCCCACATAGAAGACGCAAAAGAAAGAAAACACCCGGCCACCAGCACAACCCCCAGGACTGCCGCCGAGGGAGAGGCCCGCCAGCTGGAGAGTACTGGAAGAAGCCAAGAGGCAAGGCAAGAGCTCAATCCGTTAGGGCTGTAATTAGCTCAGGTCTCCTGCACGCAGTCAGGCCGCACTGATTTTCTCAGGGGGCCAAAGAGCTAAAACAAAACGCAGGCCCATCTGCAACATAACATCTAAAGAATTTTCCCTCCCTGAGGTTCTGAAGAGATTATTCACATTGGAGCAAGGGATATTTCTGATGCCTGCATTACGCCTCTCTTCCCTCGGGCTTCACGGAGACTCATCCACCTGTATTCCTGGGGAAGATATATTGATTAAGGAAGGCAAAAACCCTAACTCAGAAGCAAGACTGTATTCAATCTTCTTTTTTCCTCCCAGCAAATGGAGCCATAATTCCAAGTAAGTGACGTGTGGAGCTGTTAAGACCCAAGCGCTGTGCTCACACCGTGCTGTTCTGCGGGTTGTAAATGGCACGCGAGGCCGCGCCAGGGACCAATTTGCTCGTTAGCTGCCAACATCAGTGTTTAATGATCTGAAGAGCAGAAGCTGCCAATTATTGTATTCTTTCTTAAAACACCATTTAAAACCCATACATATAATTACTATACCTTTCTGTTAAAATTTTATGAGTCCTCTGAAGCTGATGGGCTGCGGGTTCATTTAACCTATAAATCTCAGAGAACCCTTTGAAGGTGTCATTCCATAACTGGGTTAAAAATCCATCGCTCACACACTGGGGAGCCTGGACTCCAGCCCCTAAGCTGCCACAGCTTGGGTTACAAGCAGACAGAACCACAAGACACATCCCACAGCCTCACTGTCCTGATCTACCCACTGAGATCACTGTCTCTCCCCCACCTACAGCTATTATAAAAGTCACATAAAACAACAAATGCAGAGGAATGTTTAAAAGCACTATTCAAATGAAAAAATAAGGTACTGTTTTCAAAGACCTGAGTTTTCAAGCTACCAACTGATGGAAAAATATATCCCTTAGTAACTGCCCAGCTATAATGTCCTGAGAAGTTCCTATGTTGTACGACTGAACTTTCACAGGTGCATACCAGCATGTCTCACATCACCATCCTCCCCCATGGGTGGGTCTGGCCACATCAGTCAGCCACACCGGGCATCCTCAGAGCACAGTGCTGTAGGAGTTCTGTCCCAAGAGGAGCACTTCTACTCTCTAAACCCGGGAGAGGTGGAAGCACAGAGGTCCTGCCCAGGGCTCATTGTCCTTCCACAAAGAAAATGGGTCATCCTATTACCTGGGCTGTAGGGAAGCTCCCCCAAAGCAGGAGCTGTTTGAGCATGACATAAGTAAAGGCAGAATATGAAAGGAAAGCAAACTGAGGTAGTGTGTTGGTGGCTGTCACTATTTAGTCCACCAGCAATTACCTGATATGGCAAGCATTTTGGCTTCAAGCAATGCCAGTAGTTGGGTCTCAAGGTCACTGAGTCTCTTCCTCAGGGTGCTGCAGAGTCTCTCGCCCATGCACACCTGCAGGGAGAAACACCCATGAGTCAGTACCTACTGCTTAAATCACAATCAGGGCAGCCAAGACAGAAACTGAAAAGTGATTAAAGACAGCATACATGATAAGTGCACACCCATGTTTATAGCAGTGCAATTCACAATAACTAAGTTCTGGAAACAGCCTAGATACACATGAATAAGTGAATGCATACAGAAAATGTGGTATATATACACAAAAGAATATTATTCAGTCATAAAGAAGGATGAAATCCTGTCATTTGCAGGAACGTGGATAGAACGTGATAGTGAGACCATCACACTAAACAAGACAAGACAGACTCAGAAAGCTAAATATTGCATGCTTTCCCTTATGCTATGAGAAACCTAATATGTTATGTTAAAATGAATAAAATAAAGGGGAAATGATAGGAAACTATAAGGCAGACTCTTAAAGAGAGAGATAAAGGAGAGGGACGTAAAGAGACTGAAAAAGACTAAGTTATGTTATATGCCTGTACCAGCTTCCCGAAGTGAACATCACTGCTCTATATTGCAAACATGCACTAATTAAAAAGGAGGGATGATAAAGACTGTTGGGAGGAACAGCTTAGCAAGCAACCAGTGAGGAAAGCAGGAAAAGAAGGAAGGTAGGGAGAAAAAGGGACAAGGAGAGGGAAAAGAAGAAGAAAAGAAGGAAGCGGGGAGGAAGGGAGCAGGAGGAGGGAAGGAGGAAAGCTGCCACTGGTGTACCCAAGCACGCCCTGTACCTTCTCAGCACAGGGCAACACACACTGACATGCACTCACACAACACGGTACAACCACAAGCCGTGATAATTTGGTCACTTCTGCCTTCCGCTTCCCCGGGCCCTTGCTTTCTACTCCTTGTCAGAGAGAAACACCCCTCCCTCACTCACACCCCTCCCTCACTCACACCCCTCCGCACTGCCTGCTCAGCTGTCCCCTGGAAAGAAAAGCCTTGCCAGTCATAACCCCAAAGAGCGGGCCCCCTCCCGCTTCCCTCCTAACCCTAAGGGAACATGCCCTGTGCTTGTTTCCATTTTCACGTTGCCTCCCTCTCTGCTGGGACACAAGCTGTATGTAAGCAGGGACTTTGCTCTGTCCCTGGCACACAGCCGCAAGCAGTAAATTAAGGTATGGCCTTTGAGATCAAGGTCAGAGCAGCAGGCTGGATTTAATTACCAGAAGGTGCTCTCTAGGGAAACTTGGAGGGCAGATACCTGCTGGCAAGTCAGATTTGAAAAATAGACAAGTAACCCTCAGACAGGTTTATGGGTTTCATCATTTATTTTCCCGTGACACTCCAAACATTTCCTACATTTTTCTTTGCATTTCAAAAACAATAAAAAATCACAAACTGCTATCTCTTTTTCCAAATGTTTTTATCTTTTATTTTGTTTAAGGCTAAAGCTATGTATTTATTCGTTACATATACCCAGGCTAATGAGCTACATAGAGAGATTTCCAATTCAACCAAAGCATAGTTTTAATGGGAATAAAAATGTCTGTGGAGACATATTTGGGGGTGATCCACAAACGATGTTACCTAGAAGTGTCATTCTTCTTGCCAAAAATTTGAAATTCTATTCAAAAACTAAAATTAACCCATTTGGATTCATGAAGCCCAAGGAAAATATAAAATTTAATTTCCCCAGAGCAATCCATGGCTTGCGGGATACCAGCAGCTTAAATATTTTGCTTATCACAAACCAAAGAGAGATTATTTTTAAAATCAAAACCAACCTCACCCATTCCTGCCCAGAATCCTCCACTGCTTCTGTTGTGGACGTGCATGTGTTCTTTCCCACTCCGCATCTTAGGAAACCCTCTCTAGACAAAAGCACAGTTTGGTGGCCCCTAAACCACAGCCCACACCAGCAGGGCTGCGTCTCTGTATACACATGTCCAGAGAGATTATTTCTGAGACCTTTCCAGTGGTCCTGAGACCTGTCAGGATGTCAGAACCAGGACAAAGAGAGAGATGTCCCAGACACCTTCCCCCCAGCAGTCCTGGATTGGCTCTGAGCTCGATGACTGACACTTCGCTTCCCATCCTGTCCACCTAAAGCTGTCATCAGATGTCTGAAGACGTTTCTGTTACTTCTTTAACAACAGCCAGAAGCCTTAGGTCTCATCCAATCTATGTCCAAAGTTTCTGATTTTAGTTAACAGAATCTGTTCATCATAATTGGGTCAGTTTCTCATTTGTTGAGCAAATCCATCCTTCAAGCTGTCACTATTAATAGGAAACAACCTTCCTAAATTTTCTTGTTAAATTGCAATGCACATTTTTTTCAGGCTCTACTATTTCTCCCATCTCATTTATGCCTTAATTACCTTTGGTTTGGGTAAGCCAGGAAAGTTGAAGAAATGCACCAAGTACAAGGAGGACACTCTTGCTCTCTCTTGCCCTCTCTTTCTCTCTCTCTCTGAGAATATCAGGTATGTGTGTCCATGTGTATGTGTGTATGTGTGATAACTGCTCACACTAGTGAGTCTTGTTGAGAGCAGAGAAAATATGTTTGTGTAATTGTGTAACTGGACAGATTTCCTTTGTTCCTCATGGGCTCATTTATGCCCCTCCACATTCCCGTGTGGGCACTAGTACATGCCCACTGTACACATTCACACCTTAGAAAATTCCTTTCTTCCTGTTTACAAATAAAACTAGACCCTGAGGATCTCATTATCAAATGGAAATTTTACATTTACATTTTAAAATCTAAGACATCAGCTCTTTAACTTTGTAGAAAAGCAAAGTAATTATAAGTTTGGTTTAAGTGTGTTAAAGATGGGATGTGTGATGATTTGAATATTTTGCATGTTGAAATACTTAGCTCCAGTGAGATGGGAGAAGCAGTAAAAGACTGGGAGGAGATGCGTCTTGAGGGTGGAGTCTCATCATGGATCAGTGTCCTGACAAAAGGCCCCAGAGAGCTCTGCCCCCTCCCACCATGTAAGAAGGCAGCAAGAAGCCGGCCACCCATGACCCAGAAGAGGCACCTCTCTGGCACTCAACTATGCTGTTCCCTGATCTCATCCTTCCAGCCATCAGAACTGTGAGAAATGATGTGAATAAAGCCACCGACCTGTGGTACTATACAGAGACAAATAAACTAAGACAGCATGCAGATGCAGCAAACCACTTTTATATTTGGGCAAACCTAAGGTGTTAAGAGTAGCTAAAAAGGGTCACAGTATGGACCTCACCCTGCTCCTGTCTTTGAAGGATCATGGCAGAAAGCTGTCAGGGATGTGGGCCAAGTTCCAAGCCCCCCTGGGTGCCTGGCCCTGGCATCATCTTACAGACACCACTCATTCCTGTCAGGAAGACTTCTTTACACAAGTATTAGTGGCCATAAGCAACATCACCAAGTGTTGTCTTGGAAACCAGGTAGTTAGAAAAGGGCTGAGGCAGGGGCCAGAGTGACCATGGACATTTCTGCCAACAACACATCCTGATTACAGCTTAGCTGTACAGATTATAAGACCCTTGACACAACTCCTCATCCAGGGTCCAAGGTTCTACTTCCCTGGCCATGAAACAAAAGAATATTTGTCCCTGGCCAGTGGGCTCTCTTCTCAGCAACCTGTTCCATGTCTTGACCATCTTAGAACCTCCCTCTTCCCAGACCTGATGCTTATGATGAAAGATTCAGGACCAGATCTTAGGGTTAGGGTTAGGGCTAGGGGTCACAGCACCTAGCAATAACTCAGAGTGACAGATGCTACAGCCCAACCCAATAACAGCTCAGGCAGGCATGACCATAGTGGACAGGCTTTATAAACTGTGGATATCCCAACCAGCCAGATGTTATAGTTAGTGTCTGCATGTCCCCTCAAATCCTCATGCAGTTATGAGGCAGGCTTTTAGAGTTTGATTGATTATGGCTATGAGAGTTACACTCACCCTGGGGCAGATAGTTTTGCATATGTAAGGGAGAAAAAGAGGCTGCTTGCCCTCATTCTTCCCTTTTGCTCTTGTTGCTTTTGCTATCTTCCAGCCACCATGAACAGTTGCACTCTGCCATGTGCCACTCTGCCTTGGAGCCAGCCAAGTATGGACTAAAACCTCCACAAACTATGAGCTAAATAAACCTTTCCTTCCTTAATTTTGGGCATCAGTTATTTTGTCTCAGCAACAAGAGAGAAGTAACCAAGACAGCAGGACATGGACTCTTCAATCTAAGTGATGGTGCTCTCGGGGAATGCTGAAGGAGTGTTCTCTACACACACCAAGGTCTTGCTATAGATGGCAGATAAAATAAGGAAAATGATTCTCAAGCTAAATGAAATCTTTTTTTAAAACTCCCAAACATTCATCTCCTATTGCATTTCCACTTGTAAGGGGCCTAAACCATCTTTGTGAAAGGAAAAGTAATTAATTTTGCACATTACTCCCTTTCTGAAGGCATTTCTAAACAAGGCATTTGATGTACACATCAGCAGTCCTGTTGTGTGTCTGAAAAACAACCCCTTCTGAGGTCAAGGCCAGACTGGGTCCATGCTGGGCAATCACAGGCCAAGACCTCCACCTAGACAGCAGTGTCCCCTCTCCAGGCTCTCTGGCTCATCACATGGCCCATGAAATGGAAAACCTCCCTTTCTTCCAGAGCCCAAGTAGTCTTCCATCTAGACATTAACCTCAAACACTTCTTTGGAAAAAGGTAATATAAAGGTACTTACTTTGGTGGTGACTTCTTTAAGTGACAAGTTCAGAGCTTTTATTCTTTCCCGGAGGCTGGAAGAATTAAGAAGAGGACATTGGCCTTCTTGTTAACCACGAGTAGACAACTGCACATACAGGACAGTAAATCAGTGACCCTTACATCAACCAGGAGCCAAAGAGGAGCAGTAGGGAAGTGATGTGGAATTAACATTCCACTGGAAAGCAGACCTTTCCTCCCTGATGCTTTACCTATGCTGGTGCTAAGATCTGTCATCATTCCCAGAGTACACATCTACTGATACTGAGAAGGTCAACCCAGGCATGTTCCCAGCAGCAAAAGATTCAGATCTGCACTTCTACAACCACCTTGAAAGGATGGTTTACACAGGAAGCAGATATCTATGTGGGTTCACCACCAATTCAACAAATATGTACCAAGCGCCCTCTGCATTTAGCATCACCAAGAGCATGTTGGAGATGCTTATGTATAAAGCAGGGTTGACATGGCACCCCTCACTCTCTGGGCTTTGCTCTGCTTCTTTTCTCCTCAGTACTTTTGCCTTCACATGTTCATTTATTCATGCACTTTCTCCCCCTCTCTGTACACTGGAACACAAGTCCCACATGGGCATCAGTGATCTGCTATGTGCCCGGCCGCAGCTCCAGTGCTGGAAACAGTTCCTCGAGCTTGTTAGTGAGCACTCGGCCATATCTGCAGCATGCATGAGTCAACAAAACCAAGACTCACATCTTATTCTCAAGGCTGTTTCTTAGTGGAGAAGAAACACAGGCAGGTAATCAACCGTAATATAAAGCAAGATTAAAAAGAAAAACTACTTCAATGAGAAGAGAAACCCAATGCTAGGAGAACCCCGCAAACTAAAAGCTGCCTTGGGCAGAATACAGACAATGGAGACAAGAATTTAGAGGCAATTTAGAAATGATGGGTGCTCACTTCAGTAACACATATAATAAAATTAGAAATGAAGGGACAGGAAGGAAAGCTTTCTGGAAGACACAGAAAGTGAGCTAGGCTTCGATGAAGAAAGATTGCAGGAGAAGATGAATCTAACAGGTCCAAAGGATTCACACAGGTGAGCTGTGAGAGAGAAAGTTTAATAGAGGGCAACTACTTGTGGCACTGTGGGAGGGACGGATGGAGGGAGGGAGGGAGAGAGGGAAGCAGGTGAAAGCCTGACAATGTCCTGCTTGTTTATTTAGGAAAAGAGGACCAAAGTAAATATGATTAGAATATTTACAATATTATTCAATATACTTAGAATATTTTTAATGAAAGTAATTGTTAAAGGACAGTCAGAGCAAGCTCTTGTCAGTACCATGTGCCAGGCTAAGGAGATTTGAGATTTCCCCTTCAGGCAATGGGAAATCATTCTGATTTCAAGCAGGAGAACAGTATGAAAGAGATCTTTTGGGGGTTTTGGAAAAATAACTAGGCAGCATTATGAAGGACAATTTGGAGAAAGAAAATTCTAATGTGACAAACCAAGCAGGCACCCCATCAGGAAGCCAGTTGTCCTGGTGTATGGGAGCCGACAGGGTACTAGAGCTAGGAAAGGAAGGGATGGGATGAAGGGCCCAGGAAGGAAGGCTGCAGAGTAATGACTGCTTCTGGTCTACAGCATCTTGTTGCTTCCAGTATTCATGACTCATTAATTCTTCCTGTATCGGAGGGGCCACCATCATCAAGAACTCAGAACACAAAGATACGGTCACTGCCCTCAACCACTCACTGCTGCTAGGAGGGAGAGACAGTGTTCTATATGGTGTGATCAAAATACATGGTGAGTGCTTAAGTTTTTTGAATTTATTATGGTGAAAGGCACATTGCCCTCACTTCAAACACACATTCCCATTGTTCTTCCCACTTCGTGAAGCAGTTCTGGAAGTTCTTTTCATGAGTGTCTTCAGTTGCACTGTCATGGCTGCCTTGATGTCCTGAATCAATCTGAAATATTACCTTTCATGGTTATTGTAACTTTGAGGAACAGCCAGAAGTTTGATGGCGCCAGAGCCAGTGAATAAGGTGGATGAGGACACCCATCATGGTTTTATGAATCTGCCTTTCTGCTGTGTATCACTTGGCAGCAGCATTCACTGTAATATTTAAATCACATTTTGTAAAGTCCCTCACAAAAAAGGACTTCCAGAACTGCTTCCGAAAGTGGAAAGAACCACGGGATAAGTGTGTTTGAAGCAAGGAGGGGGATGTTTTAAGGGAGATTAGTGGCAATGTGCCTTTTACTGTAATAAATTTTTCTAAACACTCACTGTATATTTTGATCAGCCCTTGTAGATATGGGAAGAAGTGGCTTGATAAACAGTGGTTTGCCAAAGAGGAAGGTGGAGGTTTCATGGTATGTGTGAGATAGGGAAGGACCAGGCAACCATGACAAGGTTGCAAAATGCAAAAAGAGCTAAACTGAAAATTTGTTGGGTTTTGTTGTTCTTCCCTAAATGTGGGAACTGTTTTGAGATGTTATCACCTCCACCAATTTGTGATTTCTGCGTATAAGCAAACCCTCCTGGCTTGCAAAGACCTGGGAACCAGTTCAGGATTCAGGCATGTTGGCCAATCCCCTTGGAGACCTCCTTTCAAAAGAGGCAGGTTTTCCAGTCCACCTGAAATTGACCATAATGGAGGAATGAAACATGGCCAAGGGGCAGGGCATGTGGCATAAAATTCTGAATTCAGGAGTCACAGTCTTGACAACAGTGAGTGTGCCAATGGGAACCATGGAAAACAACCTTTGGAATCCTGCTGGTGAATTCTAGACCTGGTCGGGTGGAGATTGGCCTCTGAGAGCAGGTGAATCTAAGCATCAAGTTCACATGGAGTATAAGGCAGGTCAAGCCACCTTGGCGGTCAGGAAGAGAAGGACAGCGCATGTCACGCACAGCCCTGAAGGAGGTCTGCCTCTGTTGGGGCTATACCACCTGGTGGTGACACTGCTTTCCAAACTCAAATCCTTGCTTGGGCAGAAAATCACCCTCCTTCCTTTGCCAGGCTTATGGGAGCCCATTCCACTAATACATTTTTAATAAACAGCTCGCTACATAATTGAACCTGTATGAGCATTTAATAGCATATTACAAATAAGTATTCCCAAACACGCACAAAAACTAATTCATACATTGATAATTAAGATAGAATAGGTTCACTTTCCGATACAAAAATTTAGCTGTCTGAGATACAAATAAAAATCAGGCCAAATATTATCTTTCTAGGGGTAGATTGAAGTTCAGAGCTGGCCTTATCCTAGAATGAAAATTAGTCTCCTCTCAAATATCCATGTGAGAGCAAGGAGGTAGTGATGCAGATAATTGAATGCATTGTTTTATATTTGATTTGATTTATATTTAATTTATTTAACTTATGCTATATTACTTTTTGCAGTAGATTTACTTTCCTAATTATGTTTTGCTCAGGCTAATATTAACATTAGTTGCATCCCTGGGGTATACACAGAATGAAAGCTGAGAGGGGCGGGTAGAAGAATACGAATAATCTATGTCCTATGCTAATGGTTTCCAAGCTATTTTTAGTAGCAAAACTTTCTCAAATAAAGTGTTACACAAAACTGTGATATATAATGTAGATAACAGGGGATCGGTTTTAGTAAGAGAAGGGTGTCTGGACCAGGGTACCATGATGTCACACTAACCCCTCATACATCCAGTGCTACTACTATCACACTGTGGTCCACAAATCATTACTTCAAGAGCAGAGATACAAATTGAAAGCCATTAAATTAAACCAATTAAATGCTGATAAGAGTTCTACATACATCAGTGGTTAAAACTAGTCCCCATGTCTCACTAAGATTACATATTGCTCCTGACAAATAAAGACTCACTTCTCAGATCAAATTATGCTATATACTGGAAGCACATACATTGTCCATACAGATTAGCAGCTATGCTGTGACAGACACACCAGACCTAATTTATAGAAATGAATACCTTCATTCAAAGCAGCTGCCCTAGGAATCACGGAGCCAAACATTTATTGAGTGCTTACTATGTACCAAGTACTGTTCTATATTTTTTACCTGATGGGCATTTAAAACCCTTATTTTGTCTCTCTGATATAGGAGCCATACTTACCCACATTTCCAGAGAAGAAAATGCAAAGAGACTTACATAAGCTGCCCAGGGTTACCCAGCTGGAGGCCTGGGGAGCTGGAATGGTAAAGAGGCAGTCTAGCTCTCTGCTGTCCTAACCAGTACCACACAACTTTTCCCAGAAGTGTGAGCTGATATGAAATGTGCTCTGTCTGTTCAGACTGATTTCTGGAATTCTGTTTTAGAAACATGCCACTTTCACAGCACAATCAATAGTACCTCTAAAAAATACATCCTTCCTTAATCACAAACAGGTTTACATCATATGACCAAAATTCATCTCAACAAATGAAACTGGAAAGTTGAGTTCATAGATGAGACTGTGTTACAGAGAACTCACATCCACAGCTCATCCCCCAGGCAAGGAGCTGTACACTTTTATGGGATGTGTCCCTAACCTAGTACCTCAGAGTATGAATGCAACTGAATATTGGGCCATTAAAGAGATAATTAAGTTAAAGTGAGGCCATTACATTGGGCCCTAACTCAACCTGATGGGGGTCATTGTAAGAAGGGGAAATGAGGACACAGATGCACACAGAGGGACAGCCATGTGAGGACACAGTCTGCAAGCCAACGACAGAGGAATCAGCCCTACACACACCTTGATCTTAGACTTCCAGCCTCTAGGCTGTGAACCCATAAAGGTCCCTGGTGTAAACTGCCCACCCCTGGTTTTCTGCCACAGCCCTGGGAAATTAATACATGTAGAATTTCCAATTTCCAATAATCAGATTAATTGTGGTATTAAGAGCCTGCATATGGTGCTCCAGGGTCCAAAAGAAAGAACTGCTTCTCCACACAGCAGCAGCTGGGCCACACTCCTGTGATCAGACAGACAGACAGTTTCATTCCCACCCTACCCAACAGAAAGCAGAGAGCTGCTGCAGCAATAGGTGGAGGCAGAACATAGTGCTCCTGCCTTCAGC